GTTGGGTCAGGGGAGGGTTGGGTACATGTTGGGTCAGGGGAGGGTTGGGTACATGTTGGGTCAGGGGAGGGTTGGGTACATGTTGGGTCAGGGGAGGGTTGGGCACACGTTGGGTCAGGGGAGGGTTGGGTGCACAGTGGGTCACATACTGACAGTGATCCTTTAACCACCATGAGTGACCAAGACAGAATTTCTTCTTACAATATCAATACACTATCAAGCAGACAAGTGATGTGAATAAAGAAAAATATCAATTCGGGAACCATCAGTTGATCCAATAACAAATTCTCTGAACCAACTTCATAAGGACTGTATGGCAGACAGTAAGGAGAATTACTAGTGAGATCTTAGGAGTGAAACGGTCAATCCAGAATTGTTTTTCAACAATATGATACTTAAAATCATAAAAAGGTAAATCATTTTTTTATTTCAGAATGAGATCACTAGTGTCGATTTGATCTCCTAAGTTTACTGCAATTGATACCTTTTCATACAAGTTCTGAATCCGTAACCCACCCTCCACCACCTCCCCCACATAGATTCAAACGCTTCTACAAACTGAGCTACAAAGCTTCGAAGAGGCTATACCAAAAGTGCGATGAAAGTTAAGAATTGTTTGTCACTTGAAACTCTTTAGCTTCTAGTTTGGATCAAGAGATGGTGAACATTTTGGCAAGTTTAGCTGAGGAACCCCGTCAGCCGTGTGCCAGCCAGAAAGCTCAATTAAGTCAAAGTATCATACTGGATCAGGGTACGTTTAGAGTAATGAATAAAGGGGGTAAGTTTCTAAAGAAACTGTGGTGCTGCTTCGGTGAGAGTAACAAGGTACTTTGGTAATAACATCTGAGTTGATAATGTAAATTGGCCCCTGTAAATGAGAAGTTGAAGTTAAAGAAAGCTAACTACCTGAAGCGTGGGAAAACATCAGTGACCAAGTCACTGATTGGTTGTAGTTATGCCTCTGATTGGTTGAGAGGCTGACGTAGGTTCACTGGCCTGAAGCGCGGGAAACGTGAGAGATCAAGTCACTGATTGGTTAGAGTTTTACGTTTGATTGGTTGTGAGCGTGACGTAGGTTCACTGGCCTGAAGCGCGGGAAACGTGAGTGATCAAGTCACTGATTGGTTAGAGTTTTACGTCTGATTGGTTGGGAGCGTGACGTAGGTTCACTGGCCTGAAGCGCGGGAAACATGAGTGATCAAGTCACTGATTGGTTATAGTTTTGCGTCTGATTGGTCGAGGTGGCGCGAGTCAGCTCTAAGTGTTACCCCAATGTGAACACTTGTACACGAACATGACAATGAATGCTTTCTTTTTTCGTTAAGAAGATGTGCTGTGCAACGAGGAAGGTAATGAAGACGAGGAGCTTAGTGAGTCGGAGGAGTCTATTCTGATGTCACAGAAGGTCTGGGACGATATTGAGGTGGCACTCTCTGAAGTGGAGAATGTTGACGACCAGGGTGATGCACATGTCAATGACAGTCAGTCCGTCAGGTAAAACTCCTTGATATTGTCTCCAAATTCCAAATAGCACTGCTTCAATTGTCGTGCAATTCTTAAAACACCCATCAGGGGTCTTGCTCACTGTTTGACTACAGCGAACAACCGCTGACCAAATAAATGATAAATGCAATTTTTATTTTCCTTCCCAGGCCCTCTCAGTATGACATGGAAGGAATGACAGATACGTGGATTGGATCTTTCTTAGGTGAGAACATTCCCCAGTTAGATGGGGCCGCAGATGAAGAATCCTATGGAAAGGAAGACTTCAAAATACAGCGGGGAAAACCGAAAAAAGTCAAAACCAAGACAAGTCTTAATGTGGATGATAAAGTGTCAAGAGATGTAAGTCAAACCTCAACCTTGAATCTCAGATCCTCGGGGGAAAATGTAAAAGAAGAGAAAAATGAGACGAGCGGAGAGTTTTATAGCGTAGATGTTTGGCCAAAAAAAGGACTGGCAGTTCGTACGTATTCGAGGAAGAGTATGTCTGTTCCAAAGAATCGAAAGACTCCATCGCTGAACGTAGAAATGGTTGCAGTGAATAGTGACGAAGAAAAACAGCAGGAGAAATGCGGAGATGAATTTAAGTTGTTTCTCAGTGATTCGAGTGACTCTGAAAGTGAAACATTCAAGGAGAGGAATGTAGGGTCCAAACAAAATGAGGTGAATGTGTATCCTCAGACAAGACAAATCCCAGAAGAGTTAAAAACTAGCAGGTCAGAAACCTCTACTACTCGGAATTCTACAGGAACGTCGAGCGAGAGTTGTACTCCAGTTATAACGAAGTATTTTCACAGCCCTGTTAAAAACCCTGAACGCACGAAAAGAACCGACTGGTTTCACCCGCACTCTGAGGGGAAGTCTTTAACACCATCGGAACAATCTGGGGAAGAAGTGGTACCTCATTATTCCAAACAACAAAAATTAGATTTGCGTAAGAGTTCTTTTCGGAAAAGAAAGTTGACAGAGGTGGACAGGAATGAAGAAAAACTTTTTAGAGGAATAGTTACGCGGAGAACAAGCAAGAATTTAGATGTATTGGCATCTTTGGGTGTTGTTAGTGACGCCATGAAGGATTTGACAGTTTCGCTGCAAGATATCTCTCATCAGAAAATACTGAGCTCGAAGCTTAACGAAGCCAAACAACGTTTGAGAAAAAGGAATGAGAGTTATACATTTATAAGGGAGAGGTTAAAAAGCCCCAATAGAGAACAGAAACTACTTGTTGAGCGATCGCCTCAGCTGAGCAAGAATGAAAAGTCCCCTTTGTCGAGGAAGAAAAATAGTTCTCCGAGGAGAAAAGAAGAAAGGGCGAAGAGGTTCGGATCGATACCTATTGTGATTGAAAAGTCGCCTAAAAAGAATCAAGTTCCGGTTAACAATCTAGTCCCAGATACGAATCGTCTGCTTACGGAGACATCATCTCCAAATCTATCTTCTGCACAGATTTTAGGTCGTCAGGACTGCGATGGTAGCGATCCTAACCTCAATTGCGGGATGGGACGAGCCTCGTTCCCAAACAGAGCACAAGTTTTGAGACTTCTGTCCTCTCAGTCAACTACTTCTACATCCTCTGTAGGTAGCATACAAACTTCCCGTATTCCTTCTGTCTCGTCCCGTGCACTGACCCTTAAATCTGATAGTAAGCTCAGGGGAAAGTCCCACAATGAACCGGGGAATGTTTTGTCCTTGCGAAAGGGAGGGCTAAAGCGGAAGCTTATGATGGACACTGGAGAAAAACAAATGAAGGCAAAACCAAGGATAGACACGTGTGGTATTGGAAAGAAAAGAAAGCTTTCTTTAACACTTATCAAAGCAGATAAAACTTGTCTTGATGAGAAGAAGGATTGTGACAAGGAAACTTTGGTGACATCCGCAGAAAATTGTTCCGTCAAAGACTGCGAATCCGTTTGCGAGACTGACGACTTTATCGGTAAGATTCAACTTGACACTGAAGACAACGCTACTTTTTCTCGCTCTGAAGCTAAAGTTAAATTGTCTTCAAACACCGGTGTGTTGGAGGACATTACCTGTATACCATCCAGTCCGGTTGACTCTGACTCGAACGATGATTCTGTGAATAATTCTGATTCTTCAGCGACCTCCGCTGAGTTGAAACCTCTTTCGTTGCCGGCTTCATCATACGGTAGAGTTAATGATTCTGGAGATTCGTCTGTGTCTAATGAAAATCAGCGCGAAGCGTTTGATAACGTTTGTGACAACTTAAATGGCCCACAACTTTTATCCCAGGAACTGTTTCCAAAAGAAAGAGACACGGAGTTATTAGCTAATGCTCTTTTTAACATGTCTTTTCCGTCGCCGTTGCCATCAAGGCGATGTTGCTCCCCTCCTTGTCCGTCTTCGCCATCTGACGCCAACCGACATTCAAATCAACTCGGGAGTGAAGGGAAGATGGTGGAACAACAGTTTTTTGTCGCTGCAAATAGCAGAATTGTTAACGAAGACGGAGACAGCGTTTTAAGAAAAGGCGGAATGTCTACATCTTCTCTGAGTCCCGTTAATCGAACTGACCATTGTAGCTTGGCGGATGGTCACCCGCGCGCAAAGTTTTCGCTTCTGGAAACAGGTCCTCGACTCGGAGAAACACAGACTTCATTTGAAAGTACTTCCATGTTGTATAACGATGCGGAAGCGTGCGGACATGTTGAAAATAGTTATAATCGCTTAAAAGGAGTTGATGGCAATCTGAAAATGGTTGGTGAATCTTGGAAAAGCCATGTTAATAACAGCAAGCCGAAGGCAAAAGACGAACAGTCCTCAATGGAAGGGAATGTTACGGGGAGAGAAAAGGACTGTACATTCAATTTAGGATCAACAGTTTCCGAAGAAAAACCGTTCGATAGCAGTAGTAACCGTGTAACTAAGTCGAATGCATCAGTCGCTGACACAAGAGGGCCAGAAACAGAAAGAACTCCTCTGCAGCGAGAATGTATTCCTGAATCCGCTGAAGCACGAGAAGCAGACTTTGAACAAGGAGAGCTTGTGCTAAGGATGAATGTGGCAGGAAACAGTTCAACTCATATCCAACTAGTACAACAGTGTAATCTGCAAAACGAAGAAATGGAAATTTGCGTGCAGGGCGATAGTAGAGATAGGACAGTCTGTACAGGAAACTCGCTTAACTGCCGTTTAGCCGCCGGATTGCATGCAAAACCGGACAGAATTTACAAGAGCAGTATTTCCGGTGCAAATGCTCCACAGAATGACAGTTTGTCACTTGAGTCATCTAAGAGCGACAGCTTCCAGAGTAAAAATGTTATAGCCTTTGAACCTTTAAAGCGGCCACCTACATCCGAAGAACTTTTAAACTCGCTCAAGGATTATGGGCTTCCTCAGTGCAGGTATCAACAGCCTTTTTGCAGTGACCCGGATGACGTCCCGTCATGCCCCAGGTTAGTCGCGGGTTTCCTTACATTTAAACGCATCTAGCACAAGTGATTTATTGAAAGTCACGAAAACTTTCGAAAGTGTAAAGAAAGATTGCATTAAGCGAACTTCTGCTTCACAGAATGAACGAACCCAAGGAAAAAGTTCTGCCCGCCTGTTCACCCCTGGCGTGAATTCCTTTCATAATTCATCTAGCATTTGAGTCAACAGTCACCAGAAACCCTTGTGAAATAGTTGGTATTACCTTAAGTAATATTTTTTGTATCATGTTTTCATTTTGTAATTTTTTCTTATCAGGGAAGTAGGCGGACGAATTTTGAGAATCGAATCAAAGAAGGTTAGCGCAAAAACTACAAGTTTCATTATTTTATCAAATTAATTGAAAGCATCGTGTAAACGTAAACCTTTATTAAATACGAAACATTTTAAATGTCTAATTAATCTTTGTAGAAAATTATGTCTGTTTGGAGGGGTGGTTCTCTCGACTCTCCCAAGAACTTGTAAGAGCTTGATCGTGGTTGATTGGGTAATATTAAAAACTGGATCATTGGATAATGCAATTCAAGACTTTTTATTGGCTTAGCCACCATGGTATAGGAGCCAATATACCATAATCTACAAATATGGTAAGCGTACGCGTCAGCTTAAAATCAAAAGGGAGCTAAAAAATCCAGTTTCTTCTTACAAAATAATAATTTCTTGGGGGCGTTTTTAATCAAACGATTATTCCACTCGCGCTTGTTGGATATGAGATGATTATAGCCAACTCGGCGCTACGCGCCTCGTTGGCTATCTATCATCTCATATCCAACGCGCGCTCGTGGAATAATTGTTAAATATTTGTTTTGAATTTCGAAGTAAGTGAAACGAATTTGTCACAAAAATATCTCCTCAGGAGTACTTA